AGAAAAATATCACAGATATTAATTTGAGTGCTGCTTATAGCTCTAAATTGCCAATTGGAAACAATAAGAAACAAGGCATTCGTCAATTAATTACTGGTAATATAACAGTTTATTTGAATAGTTATTTTTAAAGCTTTTAAACAAGTAAAAAGTTTGATTTGAATTAATCCTAAAACAAAAATTTTACTATTTTTAAATTTATTTTGTTTTGTATGATGATTGACACAATTTAATTGATGTTAGTTTTTTGATAATAATTCCAATTTATTTTCAAGTTTATCAGACTATAAGTTTGAATTTATATAAGAATATTATTGTTTATAAGATTAAACATTTTTTAACCATTTATAAGACTCATAATAAGACTTCCTAATTTTAAAGATTATAAGACTGAGTATTATGTAAGTCTGCTTTTCCTAGAATTTGATTAAAATTAAAACTATGAAAAAGATGCTTTATTATTTAGTACTTTATAAGACTAATTGTTTTGAGAAAACTTTTGTTATAGGTTGATTTTTTGAGAAGAAAATATATGAAATATTTGTCAAATAAACTTTATTTCATTTAAAACATTATCTTAAATAATAATGCTTATTTCATAACTAAAATTATTTCTGGTGCAACAGTCACAATTCAGGCCATTTTTTTATTATAGCTTTTATTAAGATATTTTTCAGTAATTAAAAATAAACAATTTACATGAAACTATAGCAAATACAATAAACAATTGATTTTATAAATATTTAAAACGTACCACAGATAGTAATCCAGTAATAAGGAAATAAATGCGAAAAAAATCTTAAAAGCTTTGTCCTGTAAAATTACAAAATGAGCTGTTGTGACTTTGTTTCACCGAAGGTGCGATTTATTTAGATATTTTTACATATCTAAATTTATTTAAATATTAAATTTATTCTACTATTCTACCTATGAAATTGCTGTTCTACAGTATTAGCCATTTCGAATCAAAATAATTTTTGTTTGGCAGAGAATTCTTTTTTCAAAATGAGATATTTGTTTATTGATTTGCTTCATGTTTTCATCGCATTTGAACATTTTTTGTCATCATAGATACGTTAAAAAATTCGAGTAATTATGCAATATGGTCGTGGCAGCAACGCGGCTCAAGCGGCACCCAACATCAACGACGTTTGCAAAGCGAATACTACAAAAGAATGCACCACCTGTTATTGGTTTGCTCGCTTCCGTTATGGAAATGTCGACCTAAAAAATAAACCGTGTGGTCGTCCGAAAACTTCGTTCGACAATGACAAATTAAAGGCAATTGTGGTAACTGATGATACACAATCTACGACTGAATTAGCAACAGTTTTCGACGTTATCATCAAAACAATATTGGTACATTTGCGTCAAATCGGCAAGGTAAAAAAGCTTGACAAATGGATGCCTCATGAACTCAATGATCGCCAGCGCGAAGTACGCATCGAGACGTACTTTGCACTACTCAACAGGCAACAACAACAAACGAAGGACTTCTGAACTGCATTATTACCTGCGACGAAAATGGATTCTGTTTGACAATCGCAAGCACTCAGCAAGTTGGTTGGATCCTGTTTCAGCACCTAAATAATCCCCTAAAAAAAAACTTAACCCCTAGAAAAGTCATGGTCACTGTTTGGTAGTCTAGCGCCGGTGTGATTAATCACAGCTTCTTACCAAACTTACAAATTGAGCTGAGCATTGCGGATGTGCACTATGAAGAACTAACCACAATGATGGATAAGTTCGCACGTCTCCAACCAGCTTTGGTTAATCGCTAGTCCTCACTGCCCCTGCACGACGACGCGCGACCTCATAATGCACAACCGTCGGTCCCTAAGTTACAAGAGCTGGGGTTGGAAGCCCTCCTTCATCCACCACACTCACCAGTCCCTGTGCCTATAGACTTCTACTTTATCCAGAATTTGGATAACTTTTTGGCGGGAAAAAAATTCAATAACCGAGAGGAAGTACATAATGCAATGAAGAATTTGTTGCTTCCCGTTCAGCTAATTTCTCAAGAAGGACTTCAATAAACTTCTACTGCATTGGCAAAGATGTATTGATTTCATGGGTGATTACTTTAATCAATAGAAATAAAAAGTATAGTAAAAATTCCTTAGCTTTTTTTCATAAAAAATGGCAACTTCATTGGTAAAGACCTAATTTATGTATTATCAAAATAATATATTAATATTTTTATAGCACCTGCCTTAGATTATGTGCTTAGCTAGTAGTTGACGGGTAGAGAATGTCTAAAGTCATTAAGTCCCCCAATTGTACACTTTATATGCAATAAAGTTTTTTTAAATAAAAATAAATAAATAAAATGGTGCCAACCGATGGGGCCAAAATCATTGGAATTAATGTTCAAACTTTTTAATGTTCTTTTCTTTCTTATGTTCATTACTTCGATAGTACTGACCGTAAAATAAATAGTCATTTTAAAAATAATAATGAAAGAATGGCCATAAACAAAGAAAAAAATTTCACAGTTTTTTTTTGAACCCATTATTTTCTTAGGCTCAAATTTAGTTTTTGTATTATTTGTATTGTTTTAAATTATATCTAATGCAGTCAAGTCTGACAACTTTACCAATGGAAGTTAACTTTGCCATCAAGGATGTACAGGTACAAAATTACGATTAACACGGACAACATAACGTTTTTCAGATATGCCATTTTCTGGATGAAAATGCAATTACTATTTGACAACATCGTTTTCATGAGAGTTAGTTTTGCCATTTTATTTCAACACAGATTTGTGCCAGCAAAGTAACCTTTTTGTTCAGTGCTCCAGAACTTTTGGTGATTTTGTTTGAAATACTGAATGTAGGTATCTATGTCTTTGTAGTAACATAATATTATTGGTTAGGAAATGTAATACATTGTTTTCAAGATGTTAGTCTTTACATTTATCTATAAAACTATTGGCAAAGTTACCATACAAGTCATGCCACAATGTGATTGCAATGTTCTACTCCAAAAAATGCTATCATATTTTTTTTGACACTCTAATAGCAAAGTTGCCACAAAGGTTAATTTTGCCATTTGTTATATTTGAGTATTTTGTCTATTTAATGTTAGTATTTGTTTAAATCACTAATAAACACCAAGTCTATGAAGAACATAGTGTCACTTTCAACAATGAGGCCCAGTCTCTGAGTACATTTTATGATGGAAAATTGGGCCTAAATGTTTAAGTCTTCAAAAAAAAATGACAAAGTTGCCAGGTGTCAGGGTAGTATAGTTTTTGTAGTATTTGTGTTGTGTTTAGATTATTGTGTAATCACTAATAAACAACACGTCTATGAAGAACATAGTGTCACTTTCAACAATGAGGCCCAGTCTCTGAGTACATTTTATGATGGAAAATTGGGCCTAAATGTTTAAGTCTTCAAAAAAAATGACAAAGTTGCCAGGTGTCAGGGTAGATAGTTTTTGTAGTATTTGTGTTGTGTTTAGATTATTGTGTAATCACTAATAAACAACACGTCTATGAAGAACATAGTGTCACTTTCAACAATGAGGCCCAGTCTTTGAGTACATTTTATGATGGAAAATTGGGCCTAAATGTTTAAGTCTTCAAAAAAAATGACAAAGTTGCCAGGTGTCAGGGTAGATAGTTTTTGTAGTATTTGTGTTGTGTTTAGATTATTGTGTAATCACTAATAAACAACACGTCTATGAAGAACATAGTGTCACTTTCAACAATGAGGCCCAGTCTCTGAGTACATTTTATGATGGAAAATTGGGCCTAAATGTTTAAGTCTTCAAAAAAAATGACAAAGTTGCCAGGTGTCAGGGTAGATAGTTTTTGTAGTATTTGTGTTGTGTTTAGATTATTGTGTAATCACTAATAAACAACACGTCTATGAAGAACATAGTGTCACTTTCAACAATGAGGCCCAGTCTCTGAGTACATTTTATGATGGAAAATTGGGCCTAAATGTTTAAGTCTTCAAAAAAAATGACAAAGTTGCCAGGTGTCAGGGTAGATAGTTTTTGTAGTATTTGTGTTGTGTTTAGATTATTGTGTAATCACTAATAAACAACACATCTATGAAGAACATAGTGTCACTTTCAACAATGAGGCCCAGTCTCTGAGTACATTTTATTATGGAAAATTGGGCCTAAATGTTTAAGTCTTCAAAAAAAATGACAAAGTTGCCAGGTGTCAGGGTAGATAGTTTTTGTAGTATTTGTGTTGTGTTTAGATTATTGTGTAATCACTAATAAACAACACGTCTATGAAGAACATAGTGTCACTTTCAACAATGAGGCCCAGTCTTTGAGTACATTTTATGATGGAAAATTGGGCCTAAATGTTTAAGTCTTCAAAAAAAATGACAAAGTTGCCAGGTGTCAGGGTAGATAGTTTTTGTAGTATTTGTGTTGTGTTTAGATTATTGTGTAATCACTAATAAATAACACGTCTATGAAGAACATAGTGTCACTTTCAACAATGAGGCCCAGTCTCTGAGTACATTTTATGATGGAAAATTGGGCCTAAATGTTTAAGTCTTCAAAAAAAATGACAAAGTTGCCAGGTGTCAGGGTAGATAGTTTTTGTAGTATTTGTGTTGTGTTTAGATTATTGTGTAATCACTAATAAACAACACGTCTATGAAGAACATAGTGTCACTTTCAACAATGAGGCCCAGTCTCTGAGTACATTTTATGATGGAAAATTGGGCCTAAATGTTTAAGTCTTCAAAAAAAAATGACAAAGTTGCCAGGTGTCAGGGTAGTAGTTTTTGTAGTATTTGTGTTGTGTTTAAATCTTAAATTAATGTGTAATCTTAAAAAAATCTTTTTGAAAGTCTGCAAAGTAACATTGGCACAGTGGGGAATGAAAAACAAATTGAATTTCACTGTGAATAAATGTTGTATCATGAGCTATGGTCGTGCAAAAGCCCCTCAGAAGTATGCTTGTGAAATTAACGGCTTCGTAATACCGCGCGTTACATATATTACTTAGACAAAATAAATTGACTTACCATCAAGAGCTTGCTGTAACTGTTCCCTTAGTGCTTCCAGCTGTTCCTCCTGTTGTCGTTTGAACCTGTCGACCACACGCGAACGTGCTGACCTCTCACCTGCGCCGTAGTACCGTTCTTGATGGCCATTACGTTGAAGCTCTGGCCGTAACTAGAAATATTGACAATTTTTGGATGAGAGACAGAAGATTTTATGAAATAAGAAATACAAACACTAATTGACAGTACAATGTCTTGGGCACCTCAAATTGAACAGATAAGCAAGAAAATGTTTGCAGCTTGTGGAAGTCTTAGACTCCAAAATTTCCTGCCCATTTCTACCAAAATTGCGTTAGCACATTCCATTTTGCTACCTATTTTAGACTATGCTGATATATGCTACACTGATATTACCATGGAGCAATTAAACAAGCTTGAGCGTCTTCAGAATATATCCATTCGATTCATATTTGGTTTGCGCAAATATGATCATGTATCCCAGTTTCGAAATCAACTCAAGTGGCTTCCTATTCGCCTTCGCCGGGATGTTCATATACTTTCTTTACTTTATTGTGTACTGTTTGATCCGAAATCTCCAAGATACCTTAAGGAACAATTTCACTATCGACATGAATTTCATAACCGCAATTTGCATTCAGTGTATAGCTTGGCTTTAAATACTCCTTACAGCGTAACTTCATTTTATAATAAATCATTTACATCACTAGCAACTTAACATTCAGAAAGCGCAATCTTTACAGTCTTTTAAAAAACTACTTAAGGAGTATTATTTGAAGTTCCGGTCATAATAATAAATTACATGTATTTCCTCTTTTCATATATACCTGATTTTTTTTGTTAAATTTCTCTGCAGTATATGTTTGAATATATTAAATTAAAATTATTGTACATATATATCTATGTATATATATTATAAGTATGTATATAAATATAATATATTTATAATCATTAAATATTGTATATATTATTAATATATTTTCATAAATATTATTTTTAATAAAAAAAATCTGTTTATTTCATATTGCATGTTGCACCTATCCGTCAAAATATAAAATTATAATATTCTTTTATGTTTGGTTTGTCACGCAGAAATCTCTTAAAGCTATATGACCACCATTTGTAGTCATAAGTTTTCCGTTATTGTAATAACTTTGTTAAAATGCAATAAAGAATTATCTATCTATCTATCTACAAACATCTTTATAATATGTATTAATCGTTGCTTTTCTGCCAGGGATCATGTAACTTCTGAATGATTTGACCAATGGAGATCATACACAATAATATAATATGTAAAATTAATTAGAAGATACGAAAGAACCAGCATGTCTGAGGAAAAAAACATTGCTCAATGTAAAGTCCGCTATTACACGATAGAGCACCACTACGGATTAATTTTTCTATAACTCTCACAGAACTGTGACAACGACTCTAGAACAAGCTTAGTATTACTACACAGTGTTGACCGCTCCCCGAGCTGAAACCTTGCCTAGCAGGAAATCTTAAAAGAGATCAAAATAATAACAACTTCAGTTGCCAACCTGCCAGCTGTAAACAGCAACTAAATCAAATATGAGGTAATCTATGAAGAAGGTGTATGTGCAACAGTGGACTTTTGGAATACTCTAATTAAAACAAAGTAAGCATTTTACAAAACATTGAACAATGATTACCTCTATCCTCTTAAACAGTTCCTCAATTAGTCTTATAGCCTGTAATCTTTTATGTGCAGTCTGTAACTTCCTTTGTTCTTCAGCCACTTTCTTATTCAGATCTAATTTGTCTCTCTCAACAAGTTTAGCCAGCTGTTTCTTTTTCCTCCTCTCTTCTCTCTCCCTCATCTTCTCCAACTTCTCCCTTTCAATTTGCTCCAATTTTTGTCTGTAAATAATTAGTTTATTATATATTTATTTATGATTTATTTGCACACCAAGTACAAAAAGGTGGACTTAATGCAACAAGGCATTCTCTACCAGTCTTCCTCCAGGCTAAGCAGAAAAAATATTGTGTGTGTAAAGTGCAACAGAGTTAAAATATCTATAAATAGTCATACACATTACATATTGCGACACATGTTACAAACATAATTACACATATATATTTTTATATAGATATACATACAAAATATACAAATATATACATCATAGAGTAGAGTAATATATACAAAAAATATACATTTATTTGCTTAATACTGCCTGTGTACATATTATGCATATATAGTACATACATATTTAAATATAGCTGTTTCTCAATCAAATACCTATAAAATATTTCAAATTAAAACCGGAAAAGGAAACAGTTAGAATTTAAGGATATAAAAAATAGTTAATTCAAAAACTACTCCTGCAACGCCAGAAAGTGATTCCAAAGCAAGCATTTGAACAATGCCTGGCTTGTGGCTGCACATACACTGCTTAGTAGCTCATTCCACAATCTTACCACATGAGAGGTAAAAGATTTATACAAGAAGCTAGTATGACAGAGGGGGACATGGAGATTAGAATTTTATGCAGAATGGAGACAATTATGAGAATGAGCCTGATACTGAAATTTACATTTCAGATATTCATGGACAAACGGATCATATAAAACTGAAAATAATGTGCATAGTATTCTGAAATATTTGCGATAGCAGAGAGGTAGCCATTTAAGCTGAGAACGATAAGAGATGTTGTTACTGGTAAGAACAGATTTTGAGGTTTTGTATTGGCCATCAGCCTATATTGCCCCATTAAATACGTACGAGGTATTGAGGGACTTTTATGCAGACTATACAGAGAGACGATGAAGTTATCACATTAAATGAAAAGACGTATCCTAAATAACGTTCTTTAAACATACATAACTAAAAAAATGTAACAATTAACATTCTAGTCCCAGTAATAATTTTTGCATACATTTATCACCTGACGAATACTAAAAGGTCAAAGACCCATGGCCGGCAAAGGCGAATTATAGTTCATACGTTGCCAATCCGAATTACTCAAACAAAGAAAAAGGATCAAGCAAAAAATGTACTTAAGCCTAACGATTTAAGACTTAATTCTTATGCGCGAAATTAAAAACAAAGGGACTGCGCACTGTAGGTGTGTGAAATCAAATTCAAGCGAAAAATTTACTTATTATAGACGAACAAAGGCATAATTCTCTATGCGCGAATTGACAAATGGGACGAGGTGGCGGAAGGATGCCTGTGGTCGAAGTTCGTATTTCACTAGCGCGTTCGACGATAATTAAGTCACTAGTCTGACGCCGGTATCCTTGACGATAGTTCACGGGCCGCTTGACCTAATTTTCGTGTACGCATTCTTTGAGTTTTAATTGTTTTTTTTTGTTTTGGTGACATTTTGATAAGTTTCTTGATTTGTTGATGACACATTAATATTTAGATTTGTTGATAGTAATAGTTGTGATAAGGTGGTGACAGTTTATGCGAAATTGGACACTTACTCCTACTGTTTTGTATTTTTTTTTGTTTGTGCTGGGACATGTTAATGATACGTTAGATAAAAATCATATTTAATAAATTAGTGAAGTGGTGTGACATTTAAATTTTTTTAACATTTTAACTTTTTCTAAGTTTTAAGATACCTCGTATCAATTTCACGTCATTGGAATAAACCGACATGATTTTGATTTACGGAGAGTGCCACCAAATGCAGCTCTAGAATTACATAATATTTAATTATTAAATTTGATTTGATGTTTTTATTAGACTTTAGTGATTACAAGATTAGAGTGATTATTTGGATAAAAACAATAGCATAAAGTTTATGATTTGTTGATAACATCGCATTAGCATCCCCTATGTATGGGCAAGTGTAGGTATCGCTGCGCCGTTGCCATTTTTACAGGTCACTTCAGGTCAATAAACTCATATTATCAAGGATGATTTATTTCGTGTAATATTTTAAGCTATTTATTTTGTTTAAAATGCACTTTTTTATTTTTTATATTATTGTTTATTTTATTATTTCAACAGACATATATCAACTTGCATTAACTGCTGCGCTATAAAATGTGATAACCTAATCGCCACCCAGTATACTATTTTATTAACATTAACAACAGGTAGTTGCGTCAGAGTTACTCACATTAGATACAGTGATTGTCAATCACCCTACCAAGTGTGATGATTAAAGCAAACACTTCTTCGTCCATGTATTTTACGTGGTAGAGCCACGCTGCAGCTATATTATAGTTGTAGCAAGAATGGGGCTGCTGAACTGGGGTAGAACACGCTCTCACAGATTACCAGCTTAAAGCTGCTGTATTCTGTATGGTGAGTGTAGAGAACCGGAGACCCTTTTTACTGGAAGCGAGGCATTCCATCTTAGTCTTCAGGGGTAACAATGCATTTGCATTTTGATTCTTAACTGAGGATAAATGTGGATGTCTATGGGCCATAGCATCCACTTACTATCAGGTGGACTGTATGCTCGTTTGTCACCCAATGCTGCAAAATGCAAAAAAAATGTCCAGCATTGGACTTTTATGAGCTAATGAAGAAAAACATGTATACCATAGAAATAGCCTTATGTAACCATGTGAGCATAACCTAGAATGAGATAAACATATAGCTTCCCTGGTTTTTACAATATAGTGGTGGTGTAAGAATATCTACTACCTCATAACATCCCGTTGGTGTTGTATGAGGCTACAGAGCGAAACAAGTCGGAAGATGGGCAGCAGCGTCTTACTAATAATGATTAAAATATAAAACTACAGTTGCCAAACCGCTTACCAAGTGTGGCAAATATGGCGAATATTCTTCTATGAGGCAATCTATGTGAGAGGCTTTTAATTATTAATTTTGGTCCGTTCTACAGAGAATCACATTAATCAGAGGGACATCAATCACCTCAGTCCCACCATGGCAACCACCTATGTGTGCTGACATCAGGAATTTAAAATAAGCAATATTAAATATGATAAAATCCATACAAATACTTTTATTTAATCCATTTAATGTCCATTTATTATAGCTAATCTTATTACTTTGTAATAATGAATTTGGCCGTAACTAAATTATGAGAGACTGTTTAAAAAACCTGTTCGAACAACATTCTGGGAAATACACATCAATAACATGGAAGTTATATAAAAGTGGAAACAATGTTAAAGGAATTACCTCTCTTTCGCTTCTCTCTTAGCAATTTTATCTTTCTCGATTCTCTCATCTTCTTCTTTAGCTCTTTGACGTGCAATCAACCTCTCTCTCACTATTGACCTGCGTTTCACAGCGGCATCTGTCATATGTTTCGTTTTATCAAAGTCTACATTAATATTACACCACTCAGATATATCATCCTTCTTCCGTAATAGTTTCCGTCCTCTTAAAGTATCCATACAACGCACAAAGCCCACATATTCACTAAACTGTACATAGCCTTCAAAGTAGAGGGCTGATTCAGCTGCACAAATACTTATACCTCTCATAGCTTCCTTCATTTGCAATCTAAATGGATCAGCAGCAGGAACATCTACTTGTCGTATAGCACCAAATTTTTCAAATACTTTTTTAAATATAGTCTCTGATGGTGGAGCATCTTTGTCTGGATCACGATCATGAACAAACCATCTGATAGGCAGATTTTTTACATGAACAGTATCTGGTCGTTCTCCTGGCTTCATTTCATCCATGTCAGTAGCGTCTCGAAAGAAAGAATCCCAAGCATGTCTACTCGGAAAATCAGATTTTGCTTCGGAGACTTTTACTTTCAATGGCTCCGGGTAGTCATTTAGCTGTACTATGCGATTTTCAAGACGAGCTAACACTCTGTCAAGTTTTTCTCGATTTTCCAGTTCAGCGTCGAATCTTATCACTTCAGAACTATGTTTTGACACTTTCAACACCGAAAATAAATCAGGTTGGATCATTTTTCGTAATTTTTCCATCAATTCCCAATTCGATATTGACTTTCCATGAACCTTGTGAGTAGGGAGCTGAATAGAAATATTAAGCTTTGCGAAAGACTTAAGGTACAAACGCTGAGGTAAGTACAATACTACAGCGTCTGAGGGATCCCTACAAACTTGAATACTCATTTTTTTAATATGACTAAACCTAAAAGCAACAACAAATGTACTTTTCAAAACCTGAAAGAAATTATGCCTAGCTTATATACTACATAAACCCTTAACAAGAATATATTTTATAAATAAATTTATGAAACAAAATATGTAAATGCTAAGTAAATCTAATAATGACATAGAATAATGAATTTGTTGAAATGACCAAAGCTTCTCGTAGATACAGCTCCCATTTTAGTTCCCCGAATTTTAATTATATATGCAAACAAAAAGACGAAAATTAATTCTCATTCTCAGTAAACAATAACAATGTTAAAAAGTCAAATTTTTAAGTGCAAGGTTCAAGCTTGAAGCATAGAAAACCACAGAACACATATACCCCTAAAGCAGAAAACTATGCGAAGTGCACATCTCTAGTATATATACAGTAATCTATGGTGCACAGCTAGGCGAAGTGCGAACTGCGAAACTGCGAACATTGGCGATCATCGATGTCAAAAATTAAAACATCGACGTTTTTTTTTTTGGAGTATATGGCCTGGTATCTAGACCTTTAGGGCGATAAAACATCGATGTTTTAACATCAATGTTGCCATATGTCAAACATCGAAACATCGATGTCAGTGAACTCATAATCTATGATATTGATTATATTAATAGGCACTTGTAGACAATGCGTACGCGCGATATCAGTATCAACTAAATCTTGCATCTCTTATTATAGGTTTAAAATTTTGAATAATTCAGAATTCCTAAATGCATCGACCACTTAAAAAAATTTCATTATAGTATGTAAAATTTAACTGTCAAGAGATACATGTAATGTCACAGTTGCCACTGCTTCGCTTTGTTATTCTGTGATGTCGTAGCCCGTTGTCAGTTGTCGCCTAATAACTATTCTACGTAAATTGATATTATAGGGGTATCTGTATAGTTTTCTCATCTGGTTGGGTTCTACAAATATATAATTATAAATTAAAATGAAAAGATAAACATACATAAATATCAATAAAATAAAATAAATACAAAAAATACACAAATAAATAAAGATCCAACCAGATGGAAGCCCTCGGCAGAGGAGACCAAACGGCCGAGGGTTAGGAGGAAAGGGAAAGAAACCGACGGACGATGTGGGCGGTATCGAAGACTGCCTTCTGCATTTGAACCCGGAGCGGACCGTCACGGAGTCCCAGTCGCCTCAGATGACCCGAGAGGCTGATTGGGATTAGCCCTTTCGCAGAGACGACTACAGGAATAATTTCGGTCGGCCGACCACCCCACATGTCGGTCACCTCGTGAGCCAGGTCCAGATATTTTATTCGCTTATCGGTTTCGGCTTTCACGAGGTTCTCGTCATACGGAATGGTAATGTCGACCAAAAATATTCTTGACTGTGCCCGGTCCATCAGCACAATATTAGGCTTATTCGCAAGAATAGTCCTGTCTTTGATGATGGCCCGGTCCCAGTAGAGCCTGGCGCGGTCATTTTCGAGCACGGCTTCCGGCAAGTACTTGTAATACGGCACTTTCCGGTCCACGAGACCGTATTTCAGAGCGAGCTCCTGTTGTAGAATTCTGGCTACTAGGTTGTGCCTGTGCAAGTACTCAGAGTTATAAAAATTTAATTTAAAGTTAAATTGATATTATTATTATTTTTACTGCATATTGCATTCGACTGTGTGACTATGTGAATGCATACTTATAGCTAGTGCTGCATGATTAAAAATTATAAAAAAAATTGACGGGAAAAGTCTATTATTTCGTTTTTGTGTAGTTTCTTAATTTTTTCTCAGCAATCATATTTTTTATTTCGTGATAGGAGTAGTAGATACAAAACCTACGTCAAAATCGTAAGTTAAATCCCATAGTATTTTTTTTCATACTAGATTTGTGAGTGCATAGGAACATTTAAGGATCAAAATAATAACATTCATCATTATCAGCGAAAATATTGTACTGTCTGAAATGAAGAAGATATTTTTTAACTTCTCAGTTTTTTTAATAACCGTTTGATGCTATTTTTTATTTATTTCTTTTAATTCATTAATAATAAACCGTTAACAACATGACTAATATTTTTACTCATCCTCTAATGTACATTTGCAAAAAATATCGATAATGGCCAACTTCGATGTTTTAAGTAGCATAAACATCGAACATCGATGTTAAGCTATCGATACCAACATCAATCATCCCCAGCGAAGGGTTCAAGGTTCAAGCTAGCAGTGTCGCCAGATCAGATTTTCGAAAATACTTTGTTATCCACATTAAATTACGGTGTTCGAGAGAAAAATAGTGTTTAATGGAAAAAAGTGTAATTAAAGTAATGTGTGTAGTGTAGTAGTTTTATTACAGTGTAATTAAATGACGTATTAAAACGAAAACATTTTTTATGAAGCAAAATATGCATTTATTTTATTTTAATCAAACTAACTAAATATCTTAATATTTTCATGCTTAAAATCATTGACTAAAGAAAGAAAGTACATGACACACCTACGAAAAACGTGTATACCTAAACCGTAGACAGAGAAACCTATAGACTAATGATTAGCGTGGCCTCGAGTGAGAAAGGACGATAACGTAGTTTTAGGTTATACAATAATCTTTATGACTTTTAAACATATTTAGATAAAAATTTTAATTGTTCTAAGAACTGAACTGTACAAGATTCACCAATCTTAAGCTCACAAAACACTTTTTTCTCACTTAAACAAACTTGTAAACTCCTTAGATCGCTACGAACTGTCAAAGTTGTTTAGCAAAGTGTAGTTTGCTAAACAAAAAAACCGGCACGGAGAAAGGGACATACGATCACACCGCTCTGTCTCATTTATATGCAAGACGTATACATAAATCTATCTATTTCGTGTGCGAATGCGAAAGAAGGCTTCAATTCGTCTATAGGTTTCTCTGTCTACGACCTAAACTGAGTCTGGCACAAAGATAGCGTCTTGACGTAGTGCTGCGCACTATACTTAATATCGATAATGTGGCGCTTATTTAGAAAAAGATTTTTTCGTGTGATTCGTCTCAAACACCCGTGTGTACTTAGAAAGGTTTTTTTAATCAACATGACGGATTTTTGGCGCCAAATTGTAAATCCTTAACTTTTTACTCAACTTATCGATAGTTGTATCAAAGTTAAGAAAATTAAAAGATTACTAACACATATATAAGTTATACCTATATTTTCAGTTCATTACTTTAAGCAGTCATTTTTTCATTTATAATGTAACAATCTATTATTAATGTTACAATTATTTCCTGGGAATTACTAAACAAGAAATACTAATTAAAGAATTTTTGTTTGTTTGTTAGACAATAAATTAGGCTCAGTCATCATACTCTCACTAATCAAACTATAATAAATGCAAAAGTTTGAATGTTTCTTTGTTTCTCAATCTCGCCAAAAGTAACAGACGAGTTTGAATGTAATAATTTGGCTCACAAATAGTTTATTACCTGAATTAACATATAGGATACTTTTATACCGATTTAGAGGTCCCGAGGAATAGAATAAGAAATATCGTAATATCGAATTCCACGAGAGAAACATATGAAAATAACACACTCACCTCACTAAAGTCGCAATGACAACTGATATATTGACTGTGACAAAACATGGTGCCCGTCCGCAGCGAAAAAATTGTTGCCATATTCGGTAATGATAAAACTACTGTTGTCCTTTTTTACATACGACTAAAAAAACTAAAAAGAGACGCCGATATTTCGTTACATTCCTACAATTAACGATCATTACGTCATGTCATTTCTTTCTTCTCTAGTTATTTTTTCTCTAGTCAAAGCACAAAATAGTTTATGGACTGTTACTGTCGATTGCCTCCCCTTTCTTATAAATTTCTGAGTTAAAAGATTTTTTTTTATAGAAGAGATGATGTTAAGTGACTATCGCCACCCATGATTAACCGCAACACCAGGGGAATTGCAGGTGCGTTGCCAGCCCTTTAGAAAGGAGTAAGCTCTTTTCTTGAAGGTCCCCAGGCCGTATCGATCCGGAAAAATCGCCGGTGGTAAACTATTCCACAGAGAGGTATACACGCGTACAGCGTAAGAAAACTCCTTTTGAAACGTGTTACAGTGGTGGACCGCCAAGCATCCAGATGGTGTGGATGGTATTCGGACGTTTGCAGCATAGTGTGTTCATGGCGGCTGGGATTAATCCGAACAATTCCTCAGAGCACTTTCCACGGTATATGCGAAAGAAAATGCAAAGAGATGCAACATCTCTTCGCAGTGCCAGTGAATCGAGGTACTGGGGAGCCCCAGCCCAGAGATGGGAACAGTATTTCATGTGCGGCCGAACCTGCACCTTGTAAAGTTGCAGGCGATGTGCCGGCATGAAATACTGTCCCGCTCTGCTTTTTAGAGGCCAATTTTTCCTTCTCTTCCAAGTGACCACGAAACTGCACGTCACTCGATATGTCGACGCCGAGGATTCCGATACTGGCTGAGGCAGCTAGGGGAGTGCCTTGAAACTGAGGAGATACAATAAAGGGGTTCTTTTTAGCGGTTAACGCGCAAACTTGTGTCTCCTGGGGGTTAAACTAGACTAGATTTAGTCACCCTCAATCCGAGACTCTGTTCAGCAATGACTCAACTTCAGACACAAGTTTGTCCCGGTACTCGGAGACGTTTTCCCGAGAAATATTGGCTCGGCCGGTGTAAAGAGCATCACCAGTGCTGTCATCTGCATAGCAATGAATGTTACGGGTACGCAACATGTCATTGATATGCAGAAGAAACAGCGTTGGCGATAGCACGCAGGCTTGTTTAACACCAGCATTATTAGGCTTGCAATCGGAGCTTGCACCGTCTACAGCGAC